GGGGGGGGTGACCCCTACCCCCCCCCCCCCCTGCCGTAGAGCTGTATGACACCGACAGGTGACAGAAGGCTCCCTCGCCTCTTTTCATACGGGCGAAACCCCTTCACTGTGCATTAAACACCTCTACCGAGGAATGTGAGCAGACAATTTTGAAAGTCAGTGGGCAAAAAGCGAGGGAAGTCAAGTATGGATGCAAGCTGTACAACATGCCTACGCATTTGTGTCTGAACTCTGCATCTGACCGTCCTCAAAACAAGGCACGGGCACAGCTCATTGGGAATTAACTCAATGAAGAGCGCATTAAGAGCCAATGGCGCATAAAGTGTAAATAAATCGCAGGCCAAGACCATCTGCCTGGCCTTTGTCTGCGGTGCCCACCAACACAGATCCTGCGACTGCGGTATGCATACAAAGCTTTTTGTAGCGCCTTCAGCATTCTACAAAAGGCCTCCTACATTCGATGTACAGGCCAAAAGCCCTGTCCTTAAGTTTTGTTGTTGGCTCGTCTCATGACGTCCGTGCATCTCTCGCAGGCGAATGGAGAAATCTGAGGTGCAGTGTCAGCTTGAACTGCTTCTTTCTCTGTTCCCGCCTGCTGAACCGCGCTGACGTTGCCTGACGGTCCATGGAGTGATGTGAAATCTCTCATCCAGCATCTAAAGGCAGGCCAAAAGCACAGAATTTGATAACACTCCAGTATTCCAAGACAGTTTTCATTTGAGTATCAAGCAAGCGGACAGACTGTTCGCAGCACCTGCTTGAATTCCTGAAGATGCCGGTTCACATTTGTGTATGTACGAGGATCAACAGTTGAGGGTCTTGCATAGAGTGGCAAATCTTGTCGCCCTTTCTCTGACGTCAAATGATCAGATCAGGCATTTTTAAGGAGTCCTGCAGTAGCCAGCGACGCTTCTCACCTCTGGCATTTTTGCCCTTCCGCTCTGTAGACCCTAAACTTCAGACCCGACTTTGATATGTCTGCTCCCAGTGAAGCCAGCATATTTTTGTGAGCCAGTCCCTCGTTTGCTTGCTGCCCCGCTGCAGACGGACAAATCTCAATTTCCACATCGGAGCACTGCAGTAGCCATCGGAGATCGTCAACATGCAAGCGACGCTCAGTTATTTCTTGCTGTTGCTCCTTCGTACTCGTTGACGGCTCATACAAAGGAGACGCCCTCAAAAGCTTGCTTTGTGGCAGCAGTTGCTTAAGCTGCGTATAAACCGCTTGCGTCTGCATCCACGATAAAACGCAAGGCGTCGTAGCATCTGTGTACTCGTTATCATCCACTCACTAAGCGTAATCTTAAAGCGTTAAGAAGCTTGCAAATCTCTGCGCTTTAAGTATTGTGTCAAGCGTCTACAAAATGACCTCACGCTTACAAATCTCTGCCATGACACTCTTACCGGCACAACGATACTAAGCTTCAGTTCGTTGAGGGAGCCTAATCGTGGTGCCCCCACGGAGCTGGCCTTCTGCTGTTGCCGTGCCCGCGTGAACAACCAGTGCAGATCTTGACGTACAAGCAGCAACAAACTCCATAACTGGTTGGCCTTATCCGCAGTGCGAGAATCCACTGGGACATGCATTCGCGGCCAACCCACCTGCAGTAAGCGCAGTTAAAGGCACGCACGCTGAATGTATGCTGCACGGTCCTACAATACGAGGGGATGAAACCCCACAGAGTGCTCAGCGGCAAAGCTAGCAGCAGTAGAAAAAATGAAAAATGGAACTTGTAAGACGCCTGCATATGGAAAGGCAAGGCTAGCGCGTAATAAGGCGCACTTGGAAAACAGAAGTAAGTGAGTTGCTGAGACCGAGAGCATCTTCCAGGCCTCTGCCTGCGCGGCCGAGCACCTCACGGATCTTGCGACTCCGATGCGCATCAACCGCCTTTTTAAGCACCTTCGGCATTCTAAAAAAGACCTCCTCCGCCAAATGCGGGGTCAGAGGGGCCAACAGTTGTGTTAGCACTAGAAGCAGCATAGCCAGAACAGTCTGAACACAGCAAGAACTGAGCCCGGACATAACCAAACGTTCGAAGGCGTCTAACTTCCGTAGTAATAACCCCGAGAAACGACCGCAAAAACCACACGACAACACTTAAGGGCACAAAGAACTGACCTGGCAGCTACGCCTGCGGTACCCTCCGCTGTGGTCAAGGTACAGTCTATCCTTCGCTATTTCAATGTAAGTGGCTGAGAGGTCTTCAGAAACAAAGCGAAGTAGTAAGTGCAAGGCCTGCACAGCAGCGTAACAAAAAGCCATAATATTCAGCAGTAGCTGCTATAACAGGCGTATCGCCGGCAGAATACATTCCTTTGAACTCTAGCCAAGGGATCGATTCCTCTTGCAGGCAATGACTTAGGAGGTCCCGAACCAAATTCTGCGGCAGCCTAGACAGCAGATGCAAAGGCATTGTTGAAACTACCTTGTTGTATTGAAACATTTCGTACGCCTTCCCCACATCGTCCGCGAGCTCTTTGAGCCTCAGTAGCATCCCCACGTCAAGAAGAGGCAGCTCGTTTAAAGGGACAGCATGCTGCAGTAAGGCAAGATCTCACACATCAGGCTTCCGATAATGCTACTAATAATGCAAAGTTGTGAAACTTCTGTTGTACAATTTCGAGGCACTATCATTCAGGCATTGCATCTCCAGCACTAAGATTGGCCGTCCCCCACTTCGAACTGCCACCACTTCTGCAAGTGCTACTACTGGTATAGGTGCATCTACTTATGGTGGTACTGCAGCGGCAAATGTACTAAGCATCTCACGGCAATGATGTCAAAATTCTGAAGAGAGCCAATGAGGTACTTGAACGCGTTTCTTAGCTTGATGTAGGTAGCGCTGGCTGTATGCACTACACTGTCCTTCCCGTGATGCTGTCCTTCTGAATTTCCTGAAGGACAAGCCATGTCTCCCCCAAAATCAAGCGCTCCAACAAACAAACGTAGCACGTCCGCGCCGTAAATCAACTGGCGATTCCTCTGACTCTCCTGCGCCTGGCGTTGTTCTTGTTGGGGCTTCACTGAGGCTGATACCTTGGATGTACTCGACTGTATTGCCGTCCCTGACGCCTGCTTTTCAGCAGAGAAAAATATTGCTGGCGATATTGCATTACCCTTTGACTTGCTCAGCTTATTGCCCTGAAAACGTCAGCAAGAAGCAATAGCCCGCAACTAGAGTGAATCCGCGCAGTGTCATTACAAATGTGGCACAGAAGACAACAACATTACCCTGAATATGCTTACGCTTGAATCGACGACAAACCCATGAGTCACCACGACGCTAAACGGATACTGAGGCAACTCTCCATCCTCTAGTAATTCTCCTGCTCTTGGTTCGTCGTCATCTGCCATTACCAATTCATATTCAGTCACCCCACCAATATCGTGCATCTGAATTGCCGTGGAATGACTGGTCCAACAATCCCCGAGCTGCACAACGTTTGGAACGCCTCTCTGCCGCCGCTGACGACGCAGAGCTTCCCGAGCGCCTGCATGGGACAGCAAGAGGCTCTGGAACCATCCTCTACTCTGGTCAGATCCTTCTACCACCAGGCAAGAATATCTTTCTTCTTTTCCATTCCACTGTTTCGCCTGTTGCTCTTGAAGCTGTTCTGGGTCCTGTTGTTGATGCGTGTCCTCGTTCTGCTCTTGGTGCTGCTGTTTCTGCTGCTGTTTTCCCTCCTGAACCTGAGGAAAGTATTTGTTTAAAAGGCAGTTGGCATCTTGTGTCCACTGCTGCAGGAACTTGTGGCCTGTGATCCAGGCAGAGGCGGCATCAAACCAAACATCAAAAACCATCCCACACCAACCCCTCCTTTTCAGCCTGAAAGAGTCCGAAGTGGGCACACAACGCAACTAAGATTCACTGGATATATTACCACTTCAGCTGCTTCTGCTGCGTCTGTCGTCCCTGCCTTCTATTTGCGTGGGGTATGGCTCAACTTACATCGTTAGAAGGTCATCGGTCTTGTCCCCTGCTGTTCGAAATGCCTCAGCGTACAATCTTAAGTCATTATCAAGCCGTAAACTTGTCCATCCCGCTTCTTCTGCACTTCTAGTCTCTTGGCTTCCAGTGCAGCTGAGCCCTTCTACGCGCTCTGCCACGAGAGGG